TGGAGGTGGGTTATCCTGGAGGTGGGTTATCATCCTGGAGGTGGGTTATCATCCTGGAGGTGGGTTATCCTGGAGGTGGGTTATCATCCTGGAGGTGGGTTATCATCCTGGAGGTGGGTTATCATCCTGGAGGTGGGTTATCATCCTGGAGGTGAGTTATCATCCTGGAGGTGGGTTATCATCCTGGAGGTGGGTTATCATCCTGGAGGTGGGTTATCCTGGAGGTGAGTTATCATCCTGGAGGTGGGTTATCATCCTGGAGGTGGGTTATCATCCTGGAGGTGGGTTATCATCCTGGAGGTGGGTTATCATCCTGGAGGTGGGTTATCATCCTGGAGGTGGATGATCATCCTGGAGGTGGGTTATCATCCTGGAGGTGGGTTATCCTGGAGGTGGGTTATCATCCTGGAGGTGGGTTATCATCCTGAGGTGGGTTATCATCCTGGAGGTGGGTTATCATCCTGGAGGTGGGTTATCATCCTGGAGGTGGGTTATCATCCTGGAGGTGAGTTATCATCCTGGAGGTGGGTTATCATCCTGGAGGTGGGTTATCATCCTGGAGGTGAGTTATCCTGGAGGTGGATTATCATCCTGGAGGTGGGTTATCATCCTGGAGGTGGGTTACCATCCTGGAGGTGGGTTATGATCTTGGAGGTGGGTTATCATCCTGGAGGTGGGTTATCATCCTGGAGGTGGGTTATCATCCTGGAGGTGGGTTATCATCCTGGAGGTGGGTTATCATCCTAGAGGTGGGTTATCATCCTGGAGGTGGGTTATCATCCTGGAGGCGGGTTATCATCCTGGAGGTGGGTTATCATCCTGGAGGTGGGTTATCATCCTGGAGGTGGGTTATCCTGGAGGTGGGTTATCATCCTGGAGGTGGGTTATCATCCTGGAGGTGGGTTATCCTGGAGGTGGGTTATCATCCTAGAGGTGGGTTATCATCCTGGAGGTGGGTTATCCTGGAGGTGGGTTATCATCCTGGAGGTGGGTTATCCTGGAGGTGGGTTATCATCCTGGAGGTGGGTTATCCTGGAGTGGTTATCATCCTGGAGGTGGGTTATCATCCTGGAGGTGGGTTATCATCCTGGAGGTGGGTTATCCTGGAGGTGGGTTATCATCCTGGAGGTGGGTTATCCTGGAGGTGGGTTATCATCCTGGAGGTGGGTTATCATCCTGGAGGTGAGTTATCATCCTGGAGGTGGGTTATCATCCTGGAGGTGGGTTATCATCCTGGAGGTGGGTTATCATCCTGGAGGTGAGTTATCATCCTGGAGGTGGGTTATCATCCTGGAGGTGGGTTATCATCCTGGAGGTGGGTTATCATCCTGGAGGTGGGGTTTCATCCTGGAGGTGGGTGATCATCCTGGAGGTGGGTTATCATCCTGGAGGTGGGTTATCATCTGGAGGTGGGTTATCATCCTGGAGGTGGGTTATCATCCTGGAGGTGGGTTATCATCCTGGAGGTGGGTTATCATCCTGGAGGTGGGTTATCATCCTGGAGGTGGGTTATCATCCTGGAGGTGGGTAGTGCAATGCCAATAATAACAAATTCCCACATCTATTCATTTCCAAAATAATTTTTTTTTTCAATTATCATTTGTAAAATTGACTCAAAAAAAAAAAATCTGGCTTAAACACAGTGTTCCAAAATTATGACCCAATATCATGGCAACAAGTCATTACAACCGGGTCCATCAATTTGAAACACCCTGTATAAACACGCCTCTTTGCTTTATAAAGAATAATAATCAAGGTCACTGTGTCACAGCTGCCTTGATTTCCTTGATATTTTCAAGGTTAAAGTCAGTATTTTTTTGGTTTAAAAATACATCACAAAGTGTGTTTGTTCTCACACATACTGATATAATTGTTAATTATATTGTACACTCTTGTTTACTGTCCTCTCCAATTATTATTATTACTATTATCATCATTACTATCATTACTATTATGATTAATACTATTACTATCATTATTACTACTATTATCATTATTATCATAATTATTACAGCTGACAGGTGAATATTATTTCTGCAGAATTTTATATTAATATTATTGCCAATATTTGTTATATTTCTGGAGGCATCAGAGCGGCTGAGGAATAAGAAATATGGTTTGAAACCTATCTGCAGATGCATTTGTGAAAAATGAGATCTGGAGTATACCTGGAGAGGGTTTCGGGGGTCGACGCCCCCTTGGCCCGGTCTGTGACCAGGCCTTGTGGTGGATCAGGGTCTGATCAACCAGGCTGTTACTATTGCCTACATGCAACCTGACGTAGGAACCACAGCCCGGTTGGTCAGGTACTGGCTTTAGGTGCTTGTCCAGTGCCTTATTGAAGACTGCCAGGGGACTATTGGTAATCCCCCTTATGTATGCTGGGAGGCAGTTGAACAGTCTTGGGCCCCTGACACTTATTGTGTTGTCTCTTATCATGCTAGTGGCACCCCTGCTTTTCATTGGGGGAATGTTGCATCTCCTGCTATACTGCATCATCTGAGTCTTCTGCTTTCGTAGTGAGTGATTTTCGTGTGCAAGTTCGGTACTAGTCCCTCTACGATTTTCCAGGTGTATATAATCATGTATCTCTCCCGCCTGCGTTCCAGGGAATACAGGTTTAGGAACCTCAAGCGTTCCCAGTAATTGAGGTGTTTTATCTCCGTTATGCGTGCCGTGAAGGTTCTCTGTACATATTCTAGGTCAGCAATTTCACCTGCCTTGAAAGGTACTGTTAGTGTGCAGCAATATTCCAGCCTAGATAGAACAAGTGACCTGAAGAGTGTCATCATGGGCTTGGCCTCCCTAGTTTTGAAGGTTCTCATTATCCATCCTGTCATTTTTCTAGCAGATGCGATTGATACAATGTTATGGTCCTTGAAGGTGAGATCCTCCGACATGATCACTCCCAGGTCTTTGACGTTGGTTTTTCGCTCTGTTGTGTGCTTGGAATTTGTTTTACACTCCGATGTAGTTTTAATTTCCTCACGTTTACCATATCGGATCAAATGAATGAACATCACACGAACAAGATAATGAATAAGACACACGTGCAACACACGTGGTGCACACGAGTGTTTAATGATGCCACTAGAGACACCCATGTGTTGCACATGTGTCCTAGTCATCAGTGATAAGGTGGACGTTAGATTAGGTGTGTGTGTGTGTGTGTATTTACTCATCTAGTTGTGGTTGCCTCTTCCTGCTCCATGAGCTTTACCATACCTCTTCTTAAAGCTATGTATGGATCATGCCTCCACTACATCACTTCCCAGACTATTCCACTTCCTGACAACTCTGTGACTGAAGAAATACTTTCTAACATCCCTGTGATTCATCTGAGTCTTCAACTTTCAACTGTGACACCTTGTTACTGTGTCCCATCTCTGGAACATCCTGTCTCTGTCCATTTTGTCAATTCCTAGCAGTATTTTGTATGTCATTATCATATCTCCCCGACCCTCCTGTCTTCCAGTGTCATCAGGCCGATTTCCCTTAACCTTTCCTCTTAGGACATTCCCCTGAGCTCTGGGACTAGTCTTGTTGCAAACCTTTGCACTCTCTAATTTCTTGATGTGCTTGACCAGGTGTGGGTGCCAAACTGGTGCTGCATACTCCAGTATGGGCCTGACGTACATGGTGTACTGAGTCTTGAATGATTCCTTACTGAGGTATCGGGGTATCAGAATGCTAGTCTTAGGTTTGCAAGGCGCCCATATGCTGCAGCAGTTATCTGGTTGTTTTTTGCCGCAGGAGATGTGCTCAGTATTATACTCACCCCAAGATCCTTTTCCTTGAGTGAGCATTACAGTCTTTGGCCACCTAGACTATACTCTGTGTTCGGTCTTCTTTGCCCTTCACCAATCTTCATGACTTTGCACTTGGTGGGGTTAAACTAAAGAAGCCAGTTGCTGGACCAGGCTTGCAGCCTGTCCAGATGCCTTTGTAGTCCTGCCTGATCCTCATCCAAATAAATTCTTCTTATCAACTTAACATCATCTGCAAACAGGGACACTTCTGAATCTATCCCTTCTGACATGTCATTCACATATACCAGAAACAGCACTGGTCCTAGGACTGACCCCTGTGGAAGCCTGGTTGTCACAGACACCCACTTTGACACCTCATCATGTACCATCACTCGTCGTTTCCTACCTGTCAGGTATTCTCTGATCTACTGTGGTGCCTTTCCTGTTATACCTAGCTTTAGCACTAATCTCTCATGTGGAACCGTGTCAAAAGCCTTCTTACAGTCCAAGAAAATACAATCTACCCACCCTTTTCTCTCTTGTTTTACTTCCTTCACATTGTCGAAAACCCCAGTAAGTTTGTGACATAAGATTTCCTTTCCCTGAAACCATGCTGGTTGCTGTGTATTAGCTCATTCCTTTCTAGGTGTTCCACCACTCTTCTCCTGATAATCTTCTCCATGACTTTACATACTATACATGTCAGTGATGCTGGTCTGTAGTGTAATGCTGCATGTCTGTCTCCTTTCTTAAAAATTGGGACTACATTTGCTGTCTTCCATACCTCAGATAGTCCCCATGTTTCGACAGAAGTGTTGAAGGTTGTTGTTAGTGAACACACACAGCGCCTCTTATCCCCCATCTCAGGACCTTCTGGTAGTCATGTTCTGTTTGGTCACTGCCAAGCAAACGTCGCATACTGATACAAATTTCGTTCTCGTAAAAGCCTTTGAATACTTAATTGTTTGAGACTGAGCTTACAGTTCCAGTTCCTGTACATAACATATATACACAATAGCTTCCTTATTTTTTTTTTTTTTTTTTATTACACACCGGCCGATTCCCACAGGCAGGTGGCCCGAAAAGAAAAACTTTCACCATCATTCACTCCATCACTGTCTTGCCAGAAGGGTGCTTTACACTACAGTTTTTAAACTGCAACATTAACACCCCTCCTTCAGAGTGCAGGCACTGTACTTCCCATCTCTATACTTCCCATACTCTATTCTAATAAAGTTTACATTTGTGCAGCTGTTCAGAATGAGAGAGATCGTATTAGTACGAGGCGTCCCAGCTATGACGAGTCTGGCAGTCCCACTGGTATGACACTTACCACTATCCTCAATGCTGAGCACCTTTCTCGCCAGGTCAGTAAATTAATATTAATAATATCTTTGTATCTACAAGTACATGTACAAGGTATACAGACCACAGTTGACATCAATGACATACTACTACTATATAGAAAGCCCCTTGTTATTCAGAGCATTTCCCATAAATTAGGTCAGTTATCAAACCCAATCCCACTACAAAAATAGTTACCCAACCCATTTTCAGTGCTACTACAGGGAAAATCTTTGTTAATCCTATTAAGTCATATACACATTTACTGTCTGTGATGATGAAAGATATAAAGGAGTTAAGTAAATATGGGACAGAGAGAAGGGACGGTGAAAAGATAAATGACCCGTCCAGCTTTCATTGTTACCTTATAAATGAATGTTATTTACCTATTGTACTCTCACTCACATGCTTAATGTTATTTAAGGTAAGCTAACATATTCTAACCCAGTCTTGTATTGGTACAGTTCTCCCCAGCGATGGGAGACGTCAGTATGATGAACAAGAAGGTGGCAGGAGTGATGGATGTGTGTGACAGTATGAAGCAACAGCTGCTCATCCTGGTGGAGTGGGCCAAGTATATCCCTGCGTTCTGTGACCTTATCCTTGATGACCAGGTGAGCACTAGTACATACTACTAGTACTAGTAGCACTAGTACACAATAGTGGCTTCCTTTTTTATTTAACCCTTAAACTGTCCAAACGCAGATCTACGTTCACGTGCGTAGCCCTCCGAATGTAGATCTACTTTTTTTTACATGCTTTCAAATGGAGAAAATAAAGGTTGGAGCGCTACACACGTGAACGTAGATCTATATTTGGACAGTTTAAGGGTAATTTAAATGTGTATTCAGTAAAATACATCATCTGTGTACTGCATAAAGGAAATAAAAATTTGAATTTGGCATAGCATCTTACAAGTGTTTTGAAACTGGTTCAAAATATTGACAAGTTGATTAAGACACTTGTGCAACAGTTGGGTATCTTTATTGTTGAACCGTTTCACCTACACAGTAGGCTTCGTCAGTCAAATACAAACGAACAGGTTTTTATGGAAGAGTTCGCTCCATGGGCTGAAATTTCCCAGGTGAGGGACTGCCTTTTGTTCCGGGGCCCGGGAGTCCAAATTTTCCGGGTTTGGGGGGACGGAACCTTGTTCCGACCATGGAGTCCAACTTTTCCCCGGTGAGGGACTGACCACCTTGTTCCAACCTGGGTCCAACTCTTCTCAAGGTTGGGGGACTGCCACCTTTTTCCCAGCCTGGAGCCCAAAACTCTTCTCCAGGCTGAGGGACTACCACTTTTTCCCGGGGACCATGGGTCCAATCTTTCCGGGGGGGGGGACTGACCCCCTTTTTCCAGACCGGGAGTCCAACTCTTTCCCCGGTGAGGGGACTGACCACCTTTTTCCAGACCATGGAGTAAAATCTTTCCAGGTGGGGACTGCCCACCTTGTTGCCCATGGGCCCAAACTCTTTCCAGGCTGAGGGGAGGCCCCCTTGTTCCAGACCATGGAGCCCAAAATCTTCTCCGGCTGAGGGACGACCCCCTTGTTCCAGACCATGGAGTCCAACTTTTCCAGGTTGAGGGACTGACCACCTTGTTCCGCCCATGGATTCCAAACTCTTTCCGGCTGGGGAGGGACCCCCTTTGTTCCAGCCCATGGAGTCCACTCTTCTCCAGGTGGGGGGGATGCCCACCTCAAATATTTTTCCAAGGTTGATGGATGATTCATCATCTCTATTTCACTCCCATACCTGTTGCCTCTGTATTTGACTAAAAAAAAGTCTATTTTTGTAGGCAAAACATTTCAGAATGAAGATCCTATATCTTTAAACTAGATTTTTTTGAGATATTATTATTTTATCAGGTTGGGGGGGGGATGGAAGGTTTTTAGGCCAATTCAGGGAAGGGAAAGCCAGGTTCAATTCCTGATAAGACCCCCTCACCGCATAAAAGGAACCCCCTTGGGGAGGGGTACAGGGAAAAGGTGTAATCAATTTCTGTTATTCATATGTTCTTTAACCCCAACTTATTGTTGCTGGTTTACGTACCTGGAAAATCATAAATAAGACCCGTGGCAACACCGGGGTATTTTATTCCGAAAAGTTTCAGCTGTAGAAGAGCAAATACACCTCTCCTCGCTTAACGAGGGGTTTTGTTCCTAAGCCCCATATTTTTTAAATGAATTCGTCTTTAAAGTGGGGACCCCATACCTAATGGTAGTAAATTTTTTTCAACCATCTTTGATATTTTTTTAATGTCACCTTTGAAACCATTTATAACAATTTTGGGTATACAGGGGGCCCCCCCGTTAACGATCACCTCCAAAATTGCGACCAATTTTGAAAGGTATTTAGGTAAGTGGTTTGTCGTGTATGTTTGGGGTTGAAATGGAAAATCTATTCACAATTTCCTTTGGGAAAAAATTCGGTCAGTATGGCACCCAAAAATATACTGGAATGAAAAAAAAAGTTCTTTAACGGGGGCCCCGGATTTTTAAATTTTTATACAGTAGTGATGAAATTGTAATAAACAAAATAGAGGAAATCATTTTCAAAATACTTATTTTAATTTAAAAACCTGGTCGAGAGCCGTCATAAGTCCGGGGGGAATCGTAACGGGTACGTCGCTAAGTGAGGAGGGCAGTATTGTAATAAACAGAATAGAGGAAAACAGCTCTAATATACATTATTTGGAATGAATATGGTCAAGAGCCCATCATAAGTCCAAGGGTTGGTAAACAAGTACGTTGCTAAGTGAGGGAGGAGTTTCAAACTGCAGGAGTAGAAATAATTTTTTACCAGAAATAATCACAAGTAAGCGATAAAGAGGGAAAAAACAAGAAAAGGGCGGGATTTATATAACTTGCTCAAAACCCTTTAAAGATTAAAGATTTCATTTTCTTTGCAAAGGTTACAATTTTGTAATTACAATTTTTTATTTAAGTGCAAAAAGTCCTTCTGCCGAGCATTTCCCGGCAGACTAACCTTGCACCTTTGATGTTGCTGAGTGGTATAAAATACCGACAATTGAACTGATGAAACATTTCACCCACCAAATAGGCTTTTTTTTCAGTCAAATACAAAGGGAAAACGTGTAATAAAATGATGTAATCGTCCATCAAACCCTTTGGGAAAAGTTTTGGGTATCAGTCCTCGCTGGAGAAGGTTGGCTCTTGGCTTGAATGATAAGCACATTAAGAGATGGAACTTTAGAGAAGGTTTTTTGGGCCTCCTGAACCCTTTCAGGTAACAAATGAGTGAGGAAAAATGCAAAATTACAAGATAAAAAAGGGTTTTAAGATCATATGTATCTCTAAAAAAACTGTGCATGTCACCTGTTCACCTCCTGAAAATCTAATACCTAAAATATTGTTACATCCTAATGTATATATACGAGGTAACTTAAGCGTATACTTTTTTTTTACAGTTTTATAAGTGGTACCTGTGGACTGGTGGCTAAAAATTCATTACATGGCGGGGGCTGTGTTCGTTCCCAGCAAGGGTGAAATATTGGATGTGTTCCCTTACACCCATTGTCTTGTTTACCCCTCAGTAAAAAAGGTACCTGGGTGTTGTTAACGGTGGGGTCGCATCCTGGGACAAAATGACCATTTTTCTCTAAAATGCTCTGCATAAAAAGGTGGCCTTCTTTTTTTTGTAAAATACGCCTTGAGTCAGTACGCTTTTACCATGTACATGTATTGTGTAAAAAAAAGATATTATTATACAACTCTCCTCACTTTAAGGGTTCGTGCCTTTGACCCCCCGCATTTAAAAGAATTTGTGGGGGGTCAAAAAAGGGTGGGGTACTTTTCCCCGTGTTTAAAAAAATGGAGGAGAGGAGGTGAAAAGGGCCTCTAAAAAATCACCCGATCACAGTGAGACGCTTTCCCAAGGGAATGACAACTTAAATCACCTAATAAGAGGCGAAGTAGGGAAGAAACCAGAATTAACACCTGGGGATAAAGATACAAAAAAAACTGTATACCCAAATTGTTTAAGTAGTACACGCTGGGTGTAATGCAGTGGCAGAAGACCTGGGTATGGTACATCGGTTTTTTACAAATGCACTTATTTTTAAAAATTTCCATTGGAAAAGGACCCGTGAATGTAATAAGATACAGCCTAATGGGATGGATAAAAAGTGGAGTGCAATTTGGTTCTTGTAAAAAAGACACACACAGGGAAACATGGGGAAAAACACCTGAACCCGACTCCGATTACCCCTTTAGGCCTCGAATTTTCATTTTAAAAAGTATGATATTGAATAAAAATTACTGGTAGGATGACATAGGAGTACAGACTAGGGGGTTAGTAAAAGGGACTATGGAGGGGCGGAAAAATTTGTAAGCGAAAAAATTAGAATGGTGAAGAAAGGGAATGTGTAGAAAATTTAGAAGGTGTGAAAGGGGAGTGATGAGAAGAAAATCAGTTTCAGAAATTAGTTTTGTCCCCCCAGTTTATTCAGAGATGGCTTCAAACATTTCAAGACAAGGACATTCAGGTGTTCAAAATTTAGAAAAAGAAGATGGAGGGGGGAGTGAAGTTTTGGAAAAGACGATGGGCGTTATAAAGATGAGGGGGGAAAGAGAAGATAGTGGGGAATTGGGAAGAAAAACCGGGGGAGGACAGGAGTGGAGTGGGGCGGAAAAAGGGGGAACTTATTTTGGGGGAGGTGGAGTACTAGGCTCAGACTGGAAAAGCAAAATGTTTGGGAAGGATAAGTGATGGAGGGGTTAAAGGAGATTCAAACTTTGGTGATGGTTTAGACTTTGGAGAAGCTGGGATGTGAGGTGATGGTGTAGTTGTGGAAGGTCTTGTAGACAGAAAAATGTGAGCAAAAAGATGAAGACGCAAGGACAGTGTGAGTTGACAAGATAGGGACCTCAGAGCCCAGGGCTGCAAAAGAGTTAGATACAGAGGTGACTGGAAGTTATGACCACATAGGAAATTGTAGAAGTAAGTACCACCGAGGTTGGGGGCCGCCTAGTAACTCTAGAATAAGAAAACCATGAAAGTCTCCCTTAGAGGCGGAGATGGGAGACTGCCATGGTGTAAAATTTTCTCTATGAGACAGAGAATTTCTTGTTCCTTTAAGAAAACTTGGCAACAACGAGAATAAGCTGGGTGAGCCTCATTACAATTTAAGCAAGAGGGAGAGTGGCTGCAGGATGTATTGTTATGGTCAACAGGGCATTCCTCCATGGACCTGCAATATTTCACTGGGTGGCCAAAGCGCCAGCAATTTGTACATTGTTGTGGTGTAGGAATCAATTCCCATACTTGTAAACATTGTCCCGCAATATGTACAGAGGATGGAGGTTCACAGCAGTCAAAAGTTAACTGAGCTATATTGCAGGGAAAACGTCTCTGATCGCAGACAAGTAGTACATATATAAGTATCTAAGTTGTTGCAAAATGTCAGCATTTCATGTCTGGAAATCACGTTGAACAATGGTACGTGGAAGAACTAAGGTACCACCGTAAGTATTAAGAGACGTGTTTATGAATCGTGACTGGAGTATTGTCAATGGAGGTAAGATGGGAAAGATTGCGAGCCTAACCAGCATTTTGTACCATGATGATGCATACACCACTCTTAACCCTTAAATGGTCCAAACGTATATATAAGTTTTTTCAACATCTGAAAGTACGTAAAAAAATGTAGACCTTTTTTTTTGTTTTACATTTGAAAATGTGTAAAAAAAATTTTATGTACATTTTTTTTGTTGTTATATTTGAAAATATGCAAAAAAAAAGTAGATCTACTTTTGTAGCTACGAATTTGAACATCGATCTGTTTGGACCGTTTAAGGGTTAAGAGCATAAAATTAAATATCTTCACAACATGGCTTAGGAGTGACTTGCTGATATGTATTATAATCAGAAAGAAAGTCAGTAGGACATGTCAGTTGTAATGTGAAAAACTTAGTCCACTGCACACCTTGAAATGTAGTTGTAAGGGCAGTGTTCTGTCGGTCTTTTCTAGGAAGGGTGAAAGGTAACCTAGACAGTGTTATCTGTTAATAGTTGTAGTCGTTTAGGTGTGGGACTGGAGGTGGCCAATCAAGAGAGAGAAAGGGGTCTGGCAGGAGGAATTTCATGGGCATGGGGCTCCATGGTTAAGTTTCCCTTTTCATTTATTTTTGAAAAAAAAAGAGAAAAAAGTGGGGTACATGGAGGGGTAGCTCCTAGCAGGAATGAAAGGGATCACATATCTCCCTCTGCACCCAAGAGGGCTCTCAGTGTGACCAGTAGTGCAGATGTGGTGTGGAACCCTTGACCTACACTACCCTTCCTGTGCCCTACACTACCCTTCCCATGCCCTACACTACCCTTCCCATGCCCTACACTACCCTTCCCATGCCCTACACTACCCTTCCTGTGCCCTACACTACCCTTCCTGTGCCCTACACTACCTTTCCCATGCCCTACACTACCCTTCACATGCCCTACACTACCCTTCCCATGCCCTACACTGCCTTCCAGTGACATACCCAACACTCCATGCCAGTAAACTGGCAATCCAGGATAACATCCTCGTATCCACAAAGTCACCTTGGTGAACAAAAGAGAAAGCAGTTGGAAGCCCGCCACAAGAAATACCTCCAGCAGCCACCACCTCCCAGAACCTCCAAGCAGCCTCCAGAGATACAACCGTCACCTGAGGATACCCTAAACTGCCCCCTGGAACTCCGGAGGGTGGATCAGCACATTCCTAGATGATCCAGATTCCATGAACAACACAACCACCAAGAACCTCAACGGAATGGGATGGACAACGCTACCTCTATTCCAAGCTACGAGATGGAATTTTGGAGGGGAAAGCCTCAAAGGCCAAAAGCAGGAAAGGAAGGAAGGAAGGAGAGGAGAAGAATGGGAAAGGAGGGATGGGAGGGATGAGAAAGGGGGGAATGGGAAGGATGGGATAGGGAAGAAAAGAATGAGAAGAAGAATGAGAAAGAATGAGAGGAAGAAGATCCAATTGCTCAGGCCAATGCCTCTTGGGCCATGTCAATGAGCCCTCTCCACCTTGAAGAGGTGTACAGGTGTTGCAACTTGCTGTACAGGTGTAGCAACTTGCTGTACAGGTGTAGCAACTTGCTGTACAGGTGTAGCAACTTTCTGTACAGGTGTAGTAACTTACTGTACAGGTGTAGTAACTTACTGTGCAGGTGTAGTAACTTACTGTACAGGTGTAGTAACTTACTGTACAGGTGTAGTGACCTTCACCTGCCCACAGGTAGCACTCCTACGAGCCCATGCTGGAGAACACTTGTTACTGGGTGCTGCCTGGCGTTCCATGAACATCCACGACATGATACTTCTCGGCAACGACTGTGTCATCCTCAGAAACTCCTCTGGTATTTATACATTAATGTTTTAAAACGTTGCATTCACAGTCCCTCAGTTATTATTCACAGTCCCTCAGTTATTATTCACAGTCTCTCAGTTACTATTCACAGTCTCTCAGTTATTATTCACAACAAACTTACAGTTATATATGGGACTTCAGACAAGACTTCACTACATTCTAAATATCCTCACACCAACCGTACTACTACTATGACTACTACTACTCTTACTACTGCTACTACTACTACTATGACTACTACCGCTATTACTACCTCACTACACTCCACTCACTGACTCTAGTGTCACTATCACTCCTCCACCTCCTTCTCCTCCACCACCTCTACCTCCTCTACCAACACCTCCTCCACTTCTTCCATCCTCCACCACCACCTTCTCCTCCTCCACCACAACCTTCTCTTCCACCTCCTCCTTCACCAACACCTCCACCTCCTCCACCACCACCTTCTCCTCCTCCACCACAACCTTCTCTTCCACCTCCTCCTTCACCAACACCTCCTCCTCCTCCACCAACACCTCCTCCTCCTCCACCACCTCCTCTTTCTTACTACATAATAATCTTTTATCATCAAAACATTCCAACATACACGGGCGGGGACTGAACCCATGGCAGGTGAGTAGTAAACCCAGGCCAGTGTGTTAACCACTGGGCCACCTGGCTACAATAAGCTTCATTTATCTAGGTTCATTTATACAACATAGGGAGGTTAGCATGGGTCACCACTGTGACCACCAGGATCAAAAATAACAGAATAGCACAAGACTTACAAGGCTGAGGTATCACCTCACATATGACCTTACACCCATCCCAGTATGCAAAAAATCACAGGAAACAGGTGATATCACAACTTATAAAAAATAACTGCTATCAAAAAATATTAAATTTTGAAGTGCCTTCGTGATTTCCCACATTAAACAATAATAATAATAATCTTTATTTCTACCAGTACATGATACAACTTATAAAGACCATAGCTGACACCAATAACATACTACTATACAAAAAGCCGCTTGTTATGCTGAGCATTTCCCGCAAATTATGTCAATTTTGTCCCAGGATGCGACCCACACCAGTCGACTAACACCCAGGTACCTATTTTACTGATAGGTGAACATGGACAGCAGGTGTGTTATGGAAACATGTCCTAATGCTTCCATCCGTACCAGGGATCGAACCACAGACCTCAGTGTGTGAGCTGAGTGCACTGATAATTGTACTTAAGTGTACCTGTGTACACAAATAAACTTACCACTGAGCTCCAGACGTCTCTCACTGAGTAAGATTGTAGGAGAGGTCAGTCACCCTCTTTCAAAATAAAACCCCAAATAGATAGATAACTATTTTATATATGGGGAGACGCGAAAATGAAAATGAAAATATTAATTTTCTCGTAAAGCTTACACGGTGTGGTTTACATATTATAAAATATTAATTACAAAGAATGCCACTAGCATGCCTAGGCATTTTGGGCAGACTAATACTAATTCTTACTCTATATTGACACAGGTTATGAAGCAGTACATTTTAATATAGATTATTGTATACTAATATAAAAGTTAGGGAATTAAAGTGTTTAATTAGATTAATAATAATGAGATAGTACAAAACATATAATAATATTACAATTAATTAATTTAGTAATGGTAATGGTTAAGTCTTGGCAGGCTCTGATCCACCAGGAGGCCTGGTCACAGACCGGGCCGCGGGGGCGTTGACCCCCGAAACTCTCTCCAGGTAAATACACTGTTACTATTAAAGCTGCCTGGTGGAGGGCCCGGTGGCCTGGTGGCTAAAGCTCCCGCTTCACACACGGAGGGCCCGGGTTCGATTCCCGGAGGGTGGAAACATTTCGACACGTTTCCTTACACCTGTTGTCCTGTTCACCTAGCAGCAAATAGGTACCTGGGTGTTAGTCGACTGGTGGGGGTCGCGTCCTGGGGGACAAGATTAAGGACCCCAATGGAAATAAGTTAGACAGTCCTCGATGACGCACTGACTTTCTTGGGTTATCCTGGGTGGCTAACCCTCCGGGGTTAAAAATCCGAACGAAATCTTATCTTATCTTATCTAGGCAAACTTACCAATAACTTAACATTTATTAGGTAATAACTATATCAGGAATTTTGTTTACAGTCATCTGGGTGAGCGTTAGCATAAATTAGGGGGAATTGCAGATAACAAGAGTAAGACTATTTTGTTTTGGATGTATTCATGATACAAAAAAGAGAATAGGTGGTTTTCACATAGGTGATGATGGGGTGTGTTAGGACATAAGGTGTCTTAACGGTAGTTTTGAAAATGTCGGTTGAGTCTGAGGTTCTAGAGTTTTCGGGCAGGGAGTTCCAGATTTCAGGCCCTTTTATGCACACTTAGTTTTTTAGAGATTTAGCCAGACATGAGGAATATCATAGAGATTTTTGCATCTGATATTGTATCTATGGGTCCTGTTGCAACTATCAAGAAAATGTTTTAATTCAGGGTTAATAATAGAATTTATGGTTCTGTAAATGTAGATCACACAGTAGTAGATGTGAATATTTTGTACAGTGAGTATGTTGAGGTCTTTGAAGAGTGAGGGGGACGGAGTGTTGTCTAGCATTGGATTGCATGATAATTCTTACTGTGGCTTTCTGTTGGGTTATTATTGACTTTAGGTGGGTTGCTGCTGTTGATCCCCAGGCACAAATGGCATACGTGAGGTAGGGATAGATGAGTGAATAGTACAGTATGAGTAGGGATGGTTGTGGTACATAGTAACGAATCCTGGAGAGGATCCCAACTGTTTTGGATACTTTTTTTTTTGTTATGTGTTGGATATGGGTGCTGAATTTCACATTGCTGTCAAGATGGAGGCCCAGGAATTTGCCCTCATTAAGTTTAGCAATAAGAGTGTTGTCAATCATAATGTTCAGCTGGGCATCACCTGTTCTCCTCCCAAAGATAATGCAGAGCATTTTGCCAGTGTTAATTTTAAGTTTATTAGCAGTCATCCAGGATGATATTTTTTCTAGCACTTCGTTAACAATAGTGTTGAGTGAGGCAATGTTCATCAGGAAACGGGACAAGTGTTTCCTGATGCTGGTCTTAGTTATATGATGACTCACAGCTGGAGCTTTTAGTCATCTGACCGAGGCCTTCCACTGGCTTACCCCTCCACCCCTTGAAAAATTATGGTTACGATTATAACAATCATGAATTAATAATAATCTGTAGGAGTTCTTGAACATCTGGGAAATGGGTGGTAATCATGATTGCTCCAAGAATTGGCCAGGGTAGCTACAATTCCCCAGATCAAGAGCCCTTCACAATCTTTTCAACTCTTAAGAGTTAAAAAGATACAATTTTTTAAAGACAAATTTAAGTCGATTTGAACTGTAGTGTGGGCAAGCCTCTGGTAAGACAGTGATGGAGTAATGGTGAAAGTGCTTCTTTCTTTCTCGGATTACCCTCCCTAGGTGCGAAAGGGCCCGGTAAGACAGGATAAGAGATAAGATTTTCTTCAGATTTATAACCACTGAGAGTTAGCCACCCAGGATAACTCAAGAAAGTCAGTTCGTCATCGAGGACTGTCTAACTTATTTCCATTGGGGTCCTTAATCTTGTCCCCCAGGATGCGACCCACACCAGTCGACTAACACCCAGGTATCTATTTGCTGCTAGGTGAACAGGACAACAGGTGTAAGGAAATGCATCAAAATGTTTCCGCCACCGGGAATCGAACCCGGGCCCTCCGTGTGTGAAGCGAAAGCTTTAGCCACTAGGTCACTGGGTCACCGATGTGTTAATAAAAAATATTTGATATTATAATTATTATTCTTGTTGTTATTATTATTTTTTTTATTATTATTATCACACCGGCCGATTCCCACCAAGGCAGGGTGGCCCGAAAAAGAAAAACTTTCACCATCATTCACTCCATCACTGTCTTGCCAGAAGGGTGCTTTACACTACATTTTTTTAAATGCAACATTAAACCCCCCTCCTTCAGGTGCAGGCACTGTACTTCCCATCTCCGGGGACTCAAGTCCGGCCTGCCGGTTTCCCTGAATCCCTTCATAAATGTTACTTTGCTCACACTCCAACAGCACGTCAAGTATTAAAAACCATTTGTCTCCATTCACTCCTATCAAACACGCTCACGCATGCCTGCTGGAAGTCCAAGCCCTCGCACACAAAACCTCCTTTCCCCCTCCCCCCAACCCTTCCTAGGCCGACCCTACCCGCCTTCCTTCAACTACAGACTGATACACTCTTGAAGTCATTCTGTTTCGCCCCATTCTCTCTACATGTCTGAACCATCTCAACAACCCTTCCTCAGCCTCTGGACAACAGTTTTGGTAATCCCGCACCTCCTCCTAATTTCCCAAAACTACGAATTCTCTGCTTTATATTCACACCACACATTGCCCTCAGACATGACATCTCCACTGCTCCAGCCTTCCCTCGCTGCAATCATTCATCACCACGCTTCACACCATATAAGAGCGTTGGTAAAACTATACTTCATACATTCCCCTTTTTGGCCTCCAAGGACAAAGTTTTTTTGTCTCCACAGACTCCTAAGTGCACCACTCACTCTTTTTCCCTCATCAATTCTATGATTCACCTCATCTTTCTTTAGACCATCCGCTGACACGTCCACCCCCAAATATCTAAATTTCGTTCACCCCCTCCTTTACTCTCTCCCTCCAATTGATATTCATCTTTCATCACCTAATCTTTTTGTTATCCTCATAACCTTACTCTTTCCTGTATTCACCTTTAATTTTCTTCTTTTGCAAAACCCTACCAAATTATCCACCAATCTCTGCAACTTCTCTCAGAATCTCCAAGAGCACAGTGTCATCAGCAAAAAGCAGCTGTGACAACTCCCACTTTGTGTGTGATTCTTTATCTTTTAAACCACGCCTCTTGCCAAGACCCTCGCATTTACTTTTTCTTACAACCCCCTCTATAAATATATTAAACAAAACCCCGGTGGCATCACAC